AGGAAACAGTGACAATTTATTTAAAAAACAAAACAAACAAAAAACAAGGACATTGACCATCCTTGGATGACAAAACATCAGGCAACATAGGATAAGCTGTGGCCTACAGGCATTAATTAGTTTCAAGTTATAGTTGCTAAAAGTCAAAGAAATGAGTTCTTCTGATTCTTAATCTGGACTGTGCTGACACAGCTTTACCCCCTCTTTAATATTTCCAATTTTTGTACCTTCTATTTGCTAATCTGCTTATATTTTCTAGGCAAATATACATAGAAATGGTGTAAAAAAAATCCCTCTTTGTTCTTATGAAAACTTTTCAACTTTCCATTACAAACGCATGGAAGTAAATATTATACCACCTCTATTTAGTGAAGGAAGACGATCTAAGAAGGGTATATATAGTATGATTCCAAATATATGACATTCTGGAAACGGCGATACTGTAGATGCAGTAAAAAGATCTGTGGTACCAGGGGTGAGGTGTGGGGGGAGAGGGGTAAAAAGGTGGAGCACAGAGGACTTTAAGGACAATGAAAATATACAGTATGATACCATAATAACGGATACAGGTCATTATACATTAGCCTAAATCCACAAGAAGTATAACATGAGTGAACAAAATTATACACTATGGACGTTGGGCCATTACGATGTGTCAGGGCAGTTTCTTTAATTATAACAAATATACTATTCTAATAGGGCATCTTGATCATAGAGAGCCTATGCTTGTGTAGGGTCAGAGAGTGGATGGGAAATCTCTGTACTTTCCCCTCAGTTTTGTGGTGAACATTATACTGCTCTAAAAAATAGTCTTAATTAAAAAAAAAAAGAGAGAGTGAAAGGGGGGAGGAAGAAAGATAAAGAAAGAAAACCATACTATCTGTTTGGACCACATGTTTTCCAAAATATGGGAATTTTAATCTCCACATACGGAGGTGACATGAAGTCCTCATTAAGCATTTATTTTCCTTTTTCCTCTTTTTTTTCCTCCCTCATTTTATTTGTGCCCTCTGAAGAGGGAACTGTTGGCAGAATCTCAAAGATCTCTCAACCCAACCACATTCACATTGCCACAAACTTGCCTCAGATATCAAATTTATAAAAATGACATTTCAATATAATCCATTCAGTGAAGATGAGCTCCTCTTTATACATCTAAATATGCTATCACTGAATGTACTTTCACCCCACTCAACCTCCTGCAGCAATCTGACTTTGTAAATGAGATCTCTGATGATGGGTCTAGTCAACCATGTGTGCGCTTCCTACCAAGTTGTTGGCAACTTGTTATAATTCAGGTTTTATTGAAGAGCCCATCAAATATGCTATGTAAGTATTTAATGGCTATAATGTAGATTGGGTTTGTGTGTTTTCACCCTAGATAGCTTTATAAAAATAGGTAAAAATTTTATATAATGTTGCCCTAGGATTTTAGCATACTAATAATCCACAAAATTATTTTCTCAAATTTAATTCAGCATTCATAAAAACAAAAAGCACTTTTCAACACAACACTAGCTTTACTGAGAAAGTAAAGAAAAAAAAATCAACTACAGACTGTTATGTCACTCTTTGGATGCCTTTCAATTTCTAGCCACTCAGAGAAGGCAGCCAGGTGGTAAAATGGGAGTCCTTCTGCAGAGGCCCTCCCTGGCAACATTTACTTGTCTAAACGGAGGCTGGCCTATGTTTGCAAACCCCTTCAGCAGCAAAGTCTGGTCTAGTCAAGACTTGGAATGTTCAGCCCTTTTTTAGATTTTTTCTTTGTAATATATATGTAATTCCTCTCTTACCCCACCCCCTTCACTTCTTTTATCCTGTGGCCACAGTTTATAAGTTCCATTTTGCCTTGTTTAAACTTGTCACTATTTGGGGATATTTCTTCCCTTGGAGTAGCTATCCTCAATGGTGGTTATTTTGCCCACCCTTCAAGAACATCTGGCAATGTCTAGAGATACTTTTAATTGTCATAACTTGGAATAGAGAGGAAAAGAGGTCCTCTAAGCAACTAATAGGTAGAGGCCAGGGGTGCTAGGTATCCTGTAATGCAAAGGACAGCTCCCCTCCCTCAAGGAATAATTATCTAGACTAAATGGTCAGTGGTAGACATAGAGAACGTCTGCCTTAAGGTCTTGAATGTAAAAATTCTGACATAAAATTGGGTAGAATCAGGTAGGTTGTGGCAGACAGAAGAAAATGTGACATTTTGTCTTCCATGTTCTGGACTCCTTTTTTGTCATCCTTCCTTTTGGCACCTTCTCCCTCCTTTCTCACTGCCCCTGTGTTCTATCCCTGAAATAAAATGTACTCAGGACAAAATTTGATAAGATCATTTTTTTAAGTGAACATTTCACTGTGGCCCTAATTTAGAAAAATAAAATCAGAAATAAAGCATTAGTCCAAAGGTAGAAATCTGGACATGCATGATATGCACAGCCACACTGTGACCAGAAGGCTAATTCAACAAAACTACACAACCATAATCACAGAACTGCTCCTACCATCTTCCTCCAACTCCAAAGATCTAGTATAGTCCTAACAATTTTCATTAGCACCAATGAGTTAACACCTCAAGCTTTTGCTTTCATTTCTTTGATAATCTCTCTAGTTACTCATAAGAAGCAATACTGTTTCTGTTTAGAGAAAACTGAGGAAAGAAGCAAAAGAATGTATACACATTGTATATTCTAGGTTTTAGCACACCAATATCTATTTTTCCTTGACGCATATTCTTGTGTTTTCAATTACAGTTGTGTAGAAACTATTTCAATCTCTTCTACCTGAAGACTTTCCGAGTTATTATCAATAATTCTTGAAAAATATTTAAAAACCTCGTGCATCTTCTCTGTTCAATTAAGAATTGTATGTGGACACCAGAATCTCAAGTGTGCCTTTAGTTAAGTCCCCAAAATATTCAGTCACTGCAAGAAGGGGTTGAAATGAGAGTTTTAAAAGCTCTGACAGTGAACAAATAAGAGCAAAATCTTGATGATCAACAACAATCCTCGATGGATTGCTCTGTTTCATATTTCATTGATTTTATTGTTTAAAAAGCAACCAGAAAATTACTTACATTTCAAAAGTTTGAGTGAAAATCATGTAAAAATAGTTCAATCAACTAAGCAGACTGCCTTGCCTTTAAGCAGATTTTGACCTACTAGGCACCGTACCTTCTGTTCATTAAAGCAACCCAAAATACAATGAGAAAACATTTCCAAAATGTCTCTTAAACAATACCTGAGTTCTCGGTGTGCAAAGTCCCATGTAAAGTGGCACTTTTTCTGTGTCTTTCATCTGTTACAATGAACATTCCAACCAGTCATGAGCAGGCATGTGCTCATGTCTTCCTGTCTTCCACCTGTCTTCATGTCTTCCACCCTCTCTGCTACTCTTTCCCCAGTGTCAGATCCAAGGGAGTGCAGCTATGTAGGTAATACACCATATGAAGCTGGAGAATTTGTAACAGAATACAGCTAACAGGCCAGAAACTGAGAGGCACAGAAACAGGAGAGGGTCCTCTGAAGGGTGAAGAAAAAAAGTCCTTCTATTGGAGAGTAAAATGCCCATTTCTAATTCTTCCAAGTGAGGAAAGAAATCAAATGGTTTGCTTTGTGCTGTTTTATTGAAGGCAAAGGACAAGCCTATGTGAAAGAAAACAGTGCTAAATTTCAACTACTTAAAATGCGGACATATCTTATTAATCGTTATTATTTCTACTAAATCTGTGATGATTCTCAACAATCCCTGGACTGTTGCTCTTTATTATGTGATGTTACCTTATTTCCTTCCTGCTTATATTTCAGACAGAACAACAAAGGTCTGCATTTATCTGCTGTTTTCTTTGCTGTTTAAGACAAACAAACATCTACAGGGGTCTTTTTAAATAACCTTTTCCCGGTAGGAGGAAACCTATTTCAACTAACGTGTTGTATCATGTAGCACTTGGAACACACTGCTTTATCTGACCTTTCAGAAACACATTTTTTTTAAATCCTAATAGATTCCACAGTCCATCTACAGACTAGGAAAGGCCCCCATTGAAGTTTTAGGGGAGGTCCTTGTGAACATACAGAGGACCCAGTTCATTACCTATTCACAACCCCATCCAAAATAAACTTCTCTTTTCCTATCTCTTTGTGTTCACTCCTTCCCTGTACTTTCTAAGCACTGCTCTCCCCACCCCATATATACATATATAAATACACATGGTATTAGGGATTTGAGAAAGGGTCTGAAGCCCAGTGACATTAGTCAAGAGCAAAAACAACTAAAAATTGGTCAGTCTTTGACATAACTACTCAAAGGAATGAGTTGTTCCACTAACTCAGTGAGAATAAGCCCTTTTTCTCAGTCTCAATACACCAGAGCTAGGAAAGGCTCCCATGAGTTACCCAGTCTTCCCACATCAGTGATCCCCCAGTGGGCAGCACATGCCTTAGAAGAGGGTATGGAAGACTTTCCTAGAGGGACAAGGCACATATTCAAACTCTGACCCTTTTACAGTAGCCACCACCCCCTTTCCTCGAGCATTTCATATCCTGAGACTACCTGGAAACTTTATGCTTTTTCTTTCCTCAAGGTCCTAGCTTCTCAAGAAATAGATGGAGAAATAGCTTCAAGTTCAACATTCCAAGTCTCCATCACATCTCCACTGTTTTCTAGACTTGTGACCTTACCTCCAATCTCTTGAGTCACTTAAACTTCCACTTTCACACCCATAGTTGGAGATAGTAAAAATCTGCCTACTTCACAAGGCCCTTGCAAGAATCAAGTGAGATTATAGGTGAAAATTATAAAGTGATATATACATGCAAAGCAATAAAGTTGTTATCCTGGTAAAGTTATTCAAATTCAAACTTAAGAAACCAAGAGGATCCCTGTAATGGTCAGTTATAATTTAGAAGCACAGAGGCCTATAAAATATAATGAGAAAAATTTATTCAAATATGGAAATTAATCATGGCATGGACATTCTGGTTGAATCTACTATCCATGTTTACCTGTCTCAGAAAGCAATTTTGTAGCTTCCAGAACCTTCTCTGTATAAACACCAGCTTCATAGTTCTCCATCTCAGCATTGATGATGTGTATCACTCGAGCTGCCCGGCCCCTGATGGCCCCTGCAGTCCGGTCCAGGGTGTCCACATCCCCTTCTTGGAGGGCTATCACGCACTTGTTCACATCCTCCAAGATGTGATTTTCTGTAGAGGAAACACACGCATTTATATGATTTTATACCACTCGCACACTTAAGAAATATAAGAGATTCATCAACTTCATGAGACATCACCTTGCACATCTCAATACATACCTTATAACACTAATATTTAAATAATATAGTTTAAAATTACAGTAGCAGTTCTCAAATTTGAGCACCAGCTAGAGGGCTCACAGCATCATACAGAATGCCAAGGAGCCACTCCTCCTAGCATTTTTGATTCAGTAGGTCTGGAGTGGGGCCCAAGAAAATGCATTTCTACCTAGTTCCAGGTGATGCTAATGCTGTGGGTTTAGGGACCATACTTTGAACATTGTTTTCAATGTTTGAGGTGTATTACATTTTAAGAGTGGTTGCAGCAGTTGTGGCTGGGTGGCTCAGTTAAGCACCAGACTCTTGGTTTCAGCTCTGGTCATGGGGTCGGGTCCTGGGATGGAGCCCCATGGCATCAGGGTCCTCTCCCTCTACTCCTCCCCCTGCCTCCCCACCACTTCTGCACTTGCACTCTTTCTGTCAAATAAGTGAATAAATCTTAAGGACAACAAAAGAGAGAGAGAGAGAGAGAGAGAGGTGTGGCAGTTAACATGAAGCCAACTTGATCAGAAAGAAACATTTCCAAACATGACCAGAATCAAGCTCAGGTGCATGCTTGTTTGATCATGACATTTATTATTAAGGAGACATTTAAGGGAAATTATAAAATGACCAATACCACCTCATCAGTCTTTTTTTTTATTATTTATTTATGATAGTCACGCAGAGAGAGAGAGGCAGAGACATAGGCAGAGGGAGAAGCAGGCTCCATGCACCAGGAGCCCGACGTGGGATTCGATCCCGGGTCTCCAGGATCGCGCCCTGGGCCAAAGGCAGGCGCCAAATCGCTGCACCACCCAGGGATCCCCTCATCAGTCTTTTAAGGTCATGTCATGCACATGGTATATAAAATAGGCAAATTGACCAGAAGAAGAAGATGGCAGTGTTCTCCACAGTTAAAATAAAATCCAGTCTTGTGGCTAGTTCCCTCAGATTAGAGTCAAGGTCAGGGATCTCTCTCTCTCTCATTGCTCAAAGTAGAATCCAGGCAGGCAGTCTGGACTTTCACTCTCTAGTAGCATAGAGAAAATTTGCAACCCCGTCCCTTATGGTTTTGCACATATGCAATTTTTATTTATGTCCAAAGTGAGATCTGTAATTATGTCCCTTGAATATTCTTTAGAAAACATAATTTTAAGGAAATGTTGAAAAGTTTTGTGTTCTGTAGAAAGAAAACTACTTAAGCCAAAGAGGTACATGTGTGAGTGCACACACACACATTTACTCACTATTAAAAAGGAGAACAAGTGAGAAACAGTCTTAAGTAATCTGATAACTTTTTAAAAATTATAACTGTCAAGTTCAATAAATAGTTAATAAAGGATTAAAATAAATTATTACCTCCTTGGGAATTTTCTCAGGCTAGCTCTGAATTAAAAATTTCTAAAAACAGAAAGAGGGGAAGGTACTGAGCCCACACCAGTCTCCACCATGGATCTCTCCTACTTTCATTACTAGGCTAGTCCCTCAGAAGGAATATCTGTTCTTTCGGGAACCCAGGAAGAAACTTGCAAAGTATAACTTACTTTTCATAATGGAACCTCTGTTTTGACCTTATACAATATGATTTCTTCATTCAAACCATCAGAAATTTATACATTCTCTAGTTCTTTAATTTCAAATAGAAATTAAAACAGAAAGTCTGAGATATTTTGATTTTAATATCCAGATTTTTTAAACTCACAAAAAGTAGTACTTTCTGAATGCTGACATTTTCCTGAGTAAAACAGAAACAGTTATGAAAATACAGGCTTTAAGAAGTTTTCAGTTTGGTTAAGGAACTTCTGAAAACCACGCCTTTCTGAGATCCTGGATTGTATCATCCAAACTCACTTAACAGGACACCTGAGAAAAAGGTTTCCTCAAATAAAACTTGGCATAGGATTTCAAATTCAAAAGTTTGATTTTGAAAGGCCTCTCTTACTGCCCAACTTACTACCCTGCTGGATCTCTCCAGACTATTCAAATGTGCCCTTGTCCCCAAAAGTAAGCAACTAGGTGGGCCTCCATGACAAAAACATGCATCCATCTGCTATTTTCTTTGAATAACACAGTAGAAGAACAACAACAGCCACTGCTTTTCCACAGCATAGCTGATAGATTGAAATTTGGATTTCATCTCTGCTCTGAATGCAGAACAGAGATGGAGTGTGTTAATTATATTAGATCCTAATAATCTCTCTGGTGTTGATAAAAAAATATTAATTCTAAGAAGCCCACTATGACCTAGTATCTTGAAATGAAATGATAAGGTTCTTTTTTTTTTCTTTAAAACCTATTTCCCAAACTGGAAATGTGCAACTAATTTAATTAAGATGTAAGAATAGGCTTTAATAGATAGAAATGATACATATTTGAAGGAGGCTAGCAGAAGCTGGGAATATAGGATATCAAAAGCATTGCTTTAATTAGACAAAACAACTAATTTGTTCAGTGGTTAGTTAATCATGCCAAATGAATAAAGTATATTTATTGACTATTTATTGACTAATTTTTCTTAATCAGTTTTTGGTTTTGTTTTTGTTTTTTTGAAATGCTAAGATAGTTTACTCAGCATTTCCCAGCTTTTTCCAATTAGGGATATCCCTTTTATGGAAAAATGAAACACAATTTCCTCCTAATAGTAGTTATATGGTAGATGGTGTATATGTAAAAGTTAGGATTTAGAATTTTTTAAAATAGATTTGTATTTTATTAAGCTCAGTTTGAACAATGTATTTAAGAATAGGACCTGTTCACATAGACACGTTATTTGATCAAAAGATCCTACATAGTATATATATGGATTCCCAAACCCCTTGTAATAACTTCTCCCCTCTTTTCCTTCTCCCTCCATCCTCATGTCTTTGAACCACAAATTTGGAAGCACAATGGTCTAGGATCTATCAAAAGATACAGTGAATTATTTGAAGGCAGACTCTCACATTTGATTCATATTTGCATTCCTGACAGTGCCTTATACACAGCAGGTAATCAAAGAAAAAACACTGCATAAACATGTCCATTGAAAAGAGACCATTATGAATATGAATAATAGTGAAAGGGAATATAAGGGAAGGGAGAAGAAATGTGTGGGAAATATCAGAAAGGGAGACAGAACATAAAGACTCCTAACTCTGGGAAACGAACTAGGGGTGGTGGAGGGGGAGGAGGGCGGGGGGGTGGGGGTGAATGGGTGACGGGCACTGAGGGGGACACTTGACGGGATGAGCACTGGGTGTTATTCTGTATGTTGGTAAATTGAACACCAATAAAAATTAATGCATTAAAAAAAAGAAAAAAAAAAGAAAAGAGACCATTATGTATTTTTATCCTTAGGAATTTTCAAAAGGAAGAACTCAAGAAGACAGGAATGCTGTCCCAACTAGAAAAGAATACAGCAGCAAAAGTAATAATAAAAAGCAGAGGGTTTCTAGAGAGGGCTCCATTGCTGAGAAAAACCACTCAGGTTCTTTGGATATTACACTCAGATATGAAGTACGATTTTTAAACATATCATAAACTTGCTTGAACTTTTTTGGAACCTTACTATTTCAGAAAAGACATAATTTTGTTATAAAAATCACTGATGACCAAACTACCTGAATATCATAAACCTCAAAGGTATAGATTCTAAATTCAAAAATCAAAGTTCACTGTTCGCTTTAAAAATTCACACAAACTCAAGACCCTGAAGTCAAAAGAAAAATAAGAAAAGACAAACAAAACAAAAATCTTGGATATTATGGGATTGAGTTAATCTCTTCCTCAGATCTTAGAGGCCTGCTATTTTTTTGAGCCAAACCCAAGAATTAAACTGTCACATGGTTAATGCTAAGACACTCATTTTAAAACACTATTAAAAATTGTAGTTTTTACCCAGTGGGAAAAACTTAAGTGTTCTAACACAGCCATTCCACGTTTTTATGAGCCCGGGCCACATCTGAAAATTGGTTTTGCTCCTGTAATGTTATTAGCTTAGATCATTACTCTTCAAACTTGTTGCTTTTCATATGGACAAATTAAGCACTCAGGCACACAGGTTCAGGTAGCATGAACAAAACAAAACTGTAGTCTTTTAAAAACAAAGATCTTTGCTTGTTTTTAAAATACAGCTTTCTGCCAGAATAGATATTCCCTTAAGAAGAAACGCATACATAAAATGTCATTAATGCCATTCCAAAACATCTCCTGGGCCAAACTTGCAATTTACTGATGCAAATGTTTTGGCTTCAGCTCGGAGAGGAGATAAGAAGTAGTTTCCCCAACAACTGGGCCGTGTCCATAGCCTACCAGCAGGAGAGAGTAGGCTGTGTCATTATTTGTCAAGCCCGGCTGTGGAAAGGTACCTGCCACCTCCAATTGTCAACTCCAAAAGCATGCTCCAGCAGGCCCTGCCAAGCCTGGCACCCTGACAGCACCTGTTCATTTTCCCGTCATGGCATGCCACGGCATTTGTACCACTGGGGTTGGACTGCACAGTGTTATCAGCGGAAGCCAAAGCCTTTTCTTGTTGCTGGTAATAATGAGATGCACAAAGCAATGGCAGGGAGAAAGGTGGCAAAGAGGCAGGGCTGGTGGAAGAAAATTAGGAAAAGCTTTGCGTATTGAAACAGTCGGAGATAAGACCTCCTCACTTTGCTTTTCCCTACCTTCAGAAATTTTTGTACATGTATTTAAAGAAAAGGAAAAGTTGGGAAGTTTTTAAAGTTCTGAAATGATTCTTCATTGGGATAGGTAGTCCATGAATATTTTCTACTCATTTGCACGCAAAATGGGATGCAGAATAAAATTTCCAGGCGCTATCAGGATTGCTGTGAGATCTGAGGCTGGTTAGGGAGAGCCCCTGCCCTGTCTTGGGGCCACTACATTCATCCTTGCAAAGACTGACTAGATACTAGACAGGGGTGGCCACCCATTTATTCCACACCACCCAAATCTCCAACATGCCTATCTAAACAATTTCTAAGTACCTCACATGATATGTATTTTCTCATATCTTTTATATTGTTAGGACTCAGGTATCACCAAAGCAAATCTCAGAAATGGCAACATATTGAGTTCTTCATCAGCTAGCCCACAGATGTAGGGATATTTAAGTGCTTGAAAAGTCACCAAACTATAGCTTGGAAATGAAAAACCAGAAATGTTTCTGAAATAAATGAGATAGTGGAATGAGGATACCAGAGATGGGGAGAAGAGAACCACAGTGAAAGCTGGACTTGTCAAAGGAAATTTCCTGCTATCTTGACTTACTGAAAAATTCCTAGCTTCTGAAAGGAAGATAATCTAGATTTTCATACCATCTCTGCCCAATTACCTATCCTTTCAATGTCTTAGTTTTCTCAAAGGAAGCCTTGGAAAACTAATACCTATCTTACAGAATTTTGGGGAGAATTAAAGCAAACAGCAGAGAGCTGGGTAAATTACAGACACCGAACACATGTTCCTCATTTTTTTCCATCTGCCTTCTCTTGCTCTCCATGGTTTCAAACTTGGGTTTTGATTATCCATCAGACCTACAGATTTGACTCTGCCGCTCTCAGACAAGCTTCAAACAGAAGTCTCCATTAGGAATTTGTTTTTGTTTTTGTTTTTTGAAAAGCAAAAACTGCACCTAGACAAAATTTCCAAATATGATAAACCTCCCCCAGAAATTCCTTCTAAATTACTACAATCCGAAGCCCCTTCTGCCTGAATCCCACTAGGAGTGCTGCAACCCCTTTCCTGTCAGGCCTCAGGTAGCCAAAGACAGGCAGACCCTAGTCAAGGCTAGGCCCACCTGTGGGTAGAGTCCACATCTGGTCCATTTGAATTTTCAAGGGTCACCTGATTATTTTAATGCCTCACAAAGGAGGCTGATGTTTCCAGCAACCTCCTCTCCCATTCCTCCCACAGAGACTCTTCTAGATGAACTGTGCCAAATGTGTTTGGACAAAGGCCCATTTGCTGGCAGGTAGCCCAGTTTTGAAACAGCATTGATGAGTACCATTAAAGGTCAAATTGACTACATGGTTATTCAAATATACTAACATCCTTCAGTCTGGCTTCATTTACAAAGAAAAAAAAGTCACAATTTCAAGCAGCAACTGGTTCTATTTATTTTCTCTCACTTTCTTACACATTCTCATAGATAAGTGTTCAACACCTCTATAGCTCCAAAGTATCTCCTAAGGTGTATATTTGATAACTAGTATTTCTACCTGCCTTATCACAAACCTGGGTGACTTCACTTATTGGGAAAAAAGACCCCTTTAAACATAGCCAAACTGGGCTAGCTGATTGTTTTTTTGATTCTTAAATATAAACCATGAGGATTAACCAATCTCACGTACCACCCCCTTTTTCAAGATGGGTAATTCAGATGGATACAAGGGCCCACCTGCTTTAAAAACTCTAGGAACAAAAAAAAAAAAAAAAAACAAAACTCTAGGAACTAAAAAAGAATCTAAAAAAAAAAAAAAAGAATCTATGTCACCTTAAATATTCTTTTCAGATTGCTGATCTCTTTATCAGAAAGTTGTGTTTTCCCCTCAAATGCTTTGACTCAGTGTTTTGAAATAATGTGCACTTAAAAGAAGAATTTCTAAGAGAGTGTTACTATCACATTTCCAGAGAGAAGTGAAAGCTCAAAGGGCCAAAAAGAGCATTTGAAAAAGAGACCCATGACCTTTACAAAATATTCCTAATCTGTTCTCCTCCAGCTGCCTTGGAAGGGTCCTATTTGTGATTACCTGAGACAGAAAGGAAGTCATCCACTGAGGTGATGTCATCCACAGCCTCTGTCAGCACTCGGACCTGCTTCTCCCACTGGTCTTTGAAGACATCCATGTTGTCCTGAGCAACTTTGCTCTGTGGTCGGGCAGCCAGTGTGAGAGCAGCATTGATGACCTATTTGTTAGAAACAATCCAGAAACATACTGACTACACTATTCAAGAAAAAAAACCAGAAGGTCAAAGACCACATTGAAACCCTGGACCTGGTGGTTGCTACAGATAAGTGGGTTCTCAGTGTTTAGAAGATAATCAAAACCATAAAAGATTGAAGTACATTATCGACTACCATTAGTTTTTGTTTGCTTTGTTTTGTTTAAAGATATAGTAATTGGCCTCAGGTTTCAAGAACTGTACTGGTACAAGTTGTATTTCCTTAGCACAGGTGTGGTAGAAAGCTAACTCCTGGCCTACATGTGCAAGGTTAGAATTTAGATGAGACAAGGTAAAGAGATATGGAGCATTTAAATATAGCCCCCAAATAAACAGAACAAAGTCAATATGAGTGGAAAACACAATAATTACTACAGTAATTTTGAAGGCTGGAGCAGTTAGAAATTCTTTATGAGAAAGACCTTGAAATAGCCCAGGAATGATGGCAAGGCAAGGCAAGGAAAGATATGAGGGCCTCAAGGGAGAAGACCTCGAATATTAGGACACCAATGGGCTTTTGAAACAAAGTGAATGAGGCTTACCTGGGGACACAGGCTGTCAATCTGGGTGGCTGCCATCCGGACTAATTTCACCCCCTCCTCATTGTTGGAAATGGAACAGGCCAAGTTGGCAACCTGGATGGAAGAGGATTGGAGTGAAAATCATGTGGGGGCAAAGGGGAAGTATACTGTTGCATGATCTTGCACCTTCTCTGGAGTCCTACCTCCAGGAGAACCACAAATATGTGCAGCTTTTAATGATTTACCAAGTATTACTAGTTCATATGTGATATTAGACACTTATGTCAGAAAAGCAGGGTGTTATTAGTAAATTATTGCTTCAAGCACTCACAATAATGTATTTTAACTGGGTTGTTTTGATCCATTTTCCCCTGTGGAGTGCTCTCATGACCTACACTCTCACTTGAGCCCTCTGACACTCACCATGGAGTATAGAACACTATGATTTTGGTCACATGGTGCTAAACTCTGACCAATAAAAGATACTACAGTGCGCTTTGGATTTAAAAGAGACTCACAGGAAGCTGAAAAAGAGAGTTCTACCCAAAGGAACCCATATCTGCCTGTTGGAGTCTGTCAGGAAAATACTAGTCTCCGGTTGCCCACTCAAGTGCTTTCAGGGGCCAGAAAGGTCTGAGAATCACATAGAAAAAGCAGATTTAATGTAGTAGGCAATGATAGAGTATACAACAAATTGGAATATGTGGGTCTAGTATAAAGAAACTCAATTTTAATTTTTAAAAATATTATACCAGCCAAAACAGCTGTACTGAATTTAAGCTCCCTGGTTGAGCATTTCAATTTGTCATTCATCCTCTTCAAGGAGGCAGAGCTGGTAATACAAGGTCAGATTGACTGGCCAAGGTCAACAGCACACAGAGCCAGCATCAAAACACTGATCAGTCCCATCAGACTGGTGCCAAGAGGACAAGAGAATGAGGATTAGAAAGGGTAATGGAGAAGACAAGGGCCACCAGGGCTAGGAGCGTAGGGCAAGTAGAACAAGTGATTAGCAGAGCAAGAATCCTCCTCTGAGTCTTGTGGCCATCTGCCCTTTTGTATCCTCCCACCTCTGCTCTCCAACACCAGGCTGCCTCCCTACCATGCCTCAATGCTCTGGGAGATTAAAATGCACTACACATGTGTGTAGTTCCAAATGCAAAAGAAAGCTTAGCCTGACAGTGAGGAGACAAGAACTGGAGGTCAGGAGGCTTAACCACTAAGTAGTTATATAGTCACTTCACATCTAAAGGACTGTTTTCTTATCAGCAAAAGGAGATGGATAAATGGTGATACTAGGAATACTTTCAAAGATCACTTCAATAAATCGTTAGTGTTAAGAATCCCATTTTGAAGGTTTTAAGGAAGAACACTTGAAGTCTATTGCAGTGAGAATATGTACTCTGAGATACCACAGATGGAATTCCAAACATTATCAGTTTCTTATATTTTCGTTTACCCCTGATTCTTCAGATACTTTGAAAACTAAAATGGTGAAAACTGTTTGAAATAGAAATATGCCTTACTATACCCATTTATAGGATACTAAATGTCCAGAGGCATGAGATTTCTTGGAGGCAGAGCAAGAATAACATGTGTTCTTCATTTTTTATTCTATTGTCTCCACTCCACATTTTTCATTAGTCTTTTTTATATTTGTATTCTAGTGCATTTTATACTCCAAAAGCCACATTAAGTATGTGATATAGAACTGGCACTCAATATGTTGTATTGAGTTAAAGAATAGCCTTTAATAGCTTTTTATTACATATATTATTTGGAATACATCATAAAGATATTCTCAAAGATCTAGCTGAGCTACCCCTTTAATTTGGCTAGATGAAGTTTATATTACCTTCCAGCAGCTATTTATCAGCATTATGGTACTAAACAATGATTCCTATATTTTGGTCCATTGTTTGAGTCCAGAATGTAGTGCCTCTGTTCATGGTGGCCTGAAAAAAGTCAGGATGGTATGAATTTTCCAGAAATACATATGTATTTATAATTATTTTAATCTTCAATTAAGTTCTTCCTATTTCTGCTGTTGAACAGCCTTCCTTTCTATGAAATGAGGATTTCAGATGGTCTTGTTTGCTCTCTGTCATCCATGCTTGGTGTTAAGACTTGAGATCACACTTTTGCACAGCAGTGGACATAAGCTGAAGGCTTTGGCATGTGGCTCTATATAATGACAAGGGAGAGTGAGAGCTGAGAAAAGGGGATCCTGAGAGAAGGAGATGCCAATCAGTAACTTCTATGTGGTGATAATGAAGTTTTGTGTATCTTTTGAAATGGATCTTCATTCTTTAAGTAAATTCTATTATGGCTTAGATCTAATATTGGAACCTCATTGTCCAGTAAAATCTAATTAGGGGGTGGGGGGGAAACAGTGCTAATAACACCTAGAAAAAAAATTAAGAGCTGGCAACTCCTGATAGTCCTTTAATTATTCTCTTTAATTTACTGACCCATAAATCCTAAAGTCTATCGGCCTCCACTCAGCAATGTACTCCTGCTGTTTAAGTCAACTTAAAATCAGAATTTTATTTACTTTGTATTGTATCCTGGAACACTCTGAAAATATTTCCAACATGATGCTCAAGATTTCAATATCTCCAAAACAGGCAAGTTTACAGGTCTTAAACTGGCCATGGACTCCATCCAAATTCCTAGCTTTCTTAAGCTTGCCTTTCTGCTTCTCACTGGACCCACTATATCATGGTGACTCTCAATATGGTTTCAATATATTATGATTTCTATGACTGTGGTACCAAATGCTAAGTTTTAGTCTTCAAGGTAGTTCCCAATCATTACTGTAGCTTGAAACGCTAGCTAACATTCCAGCTCCAGTCCAAGTCTATTGCTCATAGAAAGTACTTGATGATTTAAATCTTTTTTTTTAAGATTTTATTTATTCATTAGACACACACACACACACACACACACACGGGCGGGGGTGGGGGGCGGGCAGAGACACCGGCAGAGGGAGAAGCAGGCTCCATGCACCGGGAGCCCGATATGGGATTCGATCCCGGGTCTCCAGGATCGCGCCCTGGGCCAAAGGCAGGCGCCAAACCGCTGCGCCACCCAGGGATCCCAGCTTACCTCTTCTTTAACTCTGATGCTATAATACTAGAGACTCAGAAAAAATAAAATGTCCTATTTTGTCAGATTACAATATTCCCCCTGCCCCATATACCTTGGTTTTCTTTTATTTCACAGAAATACTATTTTGTTTATTTTAAATGAATCATTAGAGACAGCTGGATTCTCCAAATACGGAAGATGACTATTCTTCTGATTCTTAATTTATAACCAACTCCATTTCCAAATCCATGAAGGGTAAGATAAATAGAAGGGTACATGAAAAAGCAATCTAGTAGCTGTATATCAAGAATGAATATTTTAATGCAGTAGAGAGGGAAGGGTTCTATGATGAGGATCTTAAGAATAGGGGAGTATATCTCAGAGTAGGAAGTGTAAGATTGAATACATAGTGAAAGTTAGTGCCACAGGAATGGGAATCCTCAGATACTGGACTGCTCAAGGAAAATAGATTCCCAGGTCTTCCTTTTTCTCAGTATTTCCATTTAAGAAGTATTGGGTTGTCCCAAGAGGTATTTTTTCAGTTAGGATAAATGGCAAAGTAATGTATTATTCAAGAGCTGTTACTAGAATTCAGGAATCCCTTTGAGATATCTATGAGAGGTTTTTAGGTTTCTACATTTTTTTCCACATTTTAAAAATTAAATTCTATTAATTAACATATAATGCATTATTGATTTCAGAGGTAGAGGTCAGTGATTCATCAGTCGTATAGGAGCATTAAGTAGTATATAAGACTGATGAAACACCTTGCTTTTTTAACCAATTTAGCATGATGATCTTCCTAAACAGGAGGTGGAAGACAGGTAGAAATTGGTGGACTAGAAACATGAGATATTTGAAAAGGATTAATGTGAGAGAAATAAAAAAAAAAAAGGAAAATAGATCATTAATTGACTAGTGTTACTAGGCTGCAACCCAAAAGATGTTGAGCAATATGATTACATTTTTTAAAGATTTAATTTATTTATTCATGAGAGACACACAAAAAGAGAGGCAGAGACACAGGCAGAGGGAGAAACGGGCTCCCTGCAAGGATCCCAATGTGGGACGGGAGCCCGGATCCTGGATCCCAGGATCACGCTCTGAGCCAAAGGCAGACGCTCAACCCCTGAGCCACCCAGGCATCCCTGTGATTATGTTTAATAAAACTCTGAAACTTGTTTGAGTCAACCAAGCAAGCAGGTGACATTCATAGGGCCATGCCTCTGCTTTCTCTGTTCTTGGTTTGTTTACAACTTAGCTAAGGAACAAGAGTCATCTGCCATCTTAGAAGCTTAGGAAACAATAAAGCATATCATTAATCGTTAGATGTTAGGCTAATTAGATTGATTTGGGATTTCTGAGAGAGACTAGTCACAAGAAAAAGTGGCATTGCTCCTTAGTTTAGCTAACCATACTAAATTCCCAACAATCTTTTAGGAAAGGAAATCCTCTATACCTTTTGAAAACAACGATTTGGGGAAGCAAAAGCTAAAAAGAGTGAGCCAAGTCTTTGATCTCTCACTTAATATCTCAAAAAATAGTTATCTTGAGGAAAAGGAGGAGCCTTAGAAGCCATCACTCAATTGTATGCTCCAGACTATAAGAGCTTTAGGAGTCCAGAGAAAGGAACAATTAATACTCCTGGATGGGAATCAGTCAACACATCATGGAGAGGTAGGCTATCCATCTTATAACACTTATTTTCTGATTGCCTGATTAGCACAATTGTTAGGATGCTCAAAGATTATGATGTTTCCTGTTCTGGAGGCACATTGAAAGATGTGAAACAAAGGAGAATATGACCAGCAAGATTAGAAAGACAATAAGCCGTCAAGGAGAACTGATGCAGATTCTGTTAAGAAAGTAACTAGCTCCTTGAACTGAATTTGTACTATTGGCATCCATTCCCTGACCCTTCAATAATCACCACAGTTGAGCAAAAGTAAATATTCCAGAGACAATGATGGCAGAGTTAAAACTGACAAAAATCACAAATGCATAAAGCTCTCACAAAAATATAC